GGGGGGGGGGGTGTCAGGAAGGTCAGACTTTGTTCCACAGCTGGATTCCCAGCACCTAGTCCGGTGCTTGGCTATAGCTGATATTCAGGAAATACTTGTTGATGAATGGATGGCGACTTTGAATAGGTGCTTCCAAATGTTCATAGGATACCAGTCTTTTAATTCATGCCTGTGCCACTGATGCCCTGGAGTCTTCCTACCTCTGCACAGAGCAGAGGCCCAAGGGAGAATGCCTGCGCCTGACTCCCAGAGGCCACCCAGCTCCAGCAGGGCCCATGGAGTGGCTTACCCAGTGCACTCACTCGCTCTGTACCTCCAAAGGACACCCACCACCACCACCTGTCAGCCCCCATAAGTAGGGAAGAGTTTTGTGCTTTTGTACTCTTTGTGCAGAGAGAACCTTTGCCCGCGCATATGCACTCCTGTGTAAGTGAACAAGTTTTGGGGGGCTGCAGACCTGTGCTTGAAGAGCAGGCAGCCACGGGAGGGAGCTGGACACCGAGTTCGTGGGGGCAACGTGGGGCCCCATAGTACCGGTCCCAGCCCCTGTCCTCTGGACTCAGCCCAGAGGGTCCACACTGGCTGCACAGAAGCTGCGAATTCCAGGAAACTCCCTGCCAGCCCTGTGTGGTGGGGGAGGAGTGGAGGCCATTCTCTAGCAGATGTGTCTGCCCCAGGGACAGCAGCGAAGAAAGTTCAAACCAAAGTGTTTGCTCACCATAAAAGAGCCGTCTGTGCGGGGGCCCTGTCTGTGCGGGGGCCCTGTCTGTGCGGGGGCCCTGTCTGTGAGGGGGCCCTGTCTGTGAGGGGCCCTGGTGGGGAGGCTTGTGGGTGCTCCACCAGAGGTTCTTACTGGGCCCACAGAGGCCATTGTATCTTGCTGGGGTGCAGGGGAAAGGGAGGCAAGGCCAGAACTCTGGGTGTGGAGCTGCTGGGTCATCTTTCCTGTGCTTTACAGCCGGCTCCCAAACACAGTTGCTTACTGCTCCTGAAAGAGGCTGGGCCAGAAGGAGGTGGGGTCCCTTCCTGCTGGAGGGCTGGATTGAGAGGGCCCCGCCCCAGGGGTTCCCGGATGACTGGCCAAGGGCTCACACTGAAGCCAGCAGCTAGGGGAGAGGAGGCAGGCGTGGTCCTCTCCAGCAGGCCATCCGGCTGTTTGGAAGGCCCTGGCGGCCCCCCAGGCCCTTGAGCTGAACCCCCTTTGCTGTCTGGTTGGAACCCTGGCCCGTTCCACCCCCTTCCTTCTCCACACTTCTGGGGCTGGCCTTTTCAGCTTTGGAAGCCACCCAAGAGCATATCTTTGAAGCACAGCAAAGGTTAGGAAGGAGGAAGACAGAAATGTCCTCTGGGTTGGGGGAGTGGGAGAAAGGAATCCCATGCATGCTCCAGGGGAGTCAGAGGCAGCCCTGATGGAGGCAGCCGCTTGGCCTCCCTAGTGCCATTGCTGCCCGCTGGCCCTGTACGGAGTGAACCCTCTTTCCCGGGTTGCAGGCGGAGAGCAGTAGCCCTTGTTTACAGCCTCCTCTCAACCTGGCTCACAGGGTAAGAGCTGGGCCCTGCCGCCCACCCCACAGGATGCAGGCCTCTTAATTGTCTTCAATTACAGACAGCGGGGGCCCTCAGCCCTGGCCTTCGACAGGAACCAGAGCCCAGGCCACTTCCAAGGGGCAGGGGGAGCACCACCCGGCCCTCACTACAAGGTTTGGGGGCTCCCTGTGCCCTCTAGGGCACTTCCCAATGCCCACAGGCCTCCGAGTCCACTCAAAGGCTGCCTCAGGCCCCACGAGAGCCCATCCCTGTTGAATGCCCGCCTTCTTTGTCTCTGCTCAGGATGAGACTTCTGTGAGCAGTGAAGATTTTGATATGAATGACTCCACATGGATGTCAGCTGATCCACACCTGGCCTCCAGCCTGAGTCCCAGCCAGGACGAGAGGATGCGAAGCCCGCAGAACCTCCATGGCCAAGAGGACGGTGAGTGCCCCTCGCGGCCAGTGGGGGAGGGGCTGGATTGTCCTGTGAGCAGCTTGGACAGACTGGGTAGTAGAATCTGGGCTGAGGCCTCTGGAGGTGGTACCACCATCAGAGTTTCCAACATCTCCAGGACCTCTATGCCCCCAGCCCCAAGTGACAGAGCAAGTCTCTCCTCCCAAAGATGAATGGGTGGAGCACACAAGGACTGTCCCCCAAAGGGCACCATGTGTGTTTGTGTGCTCAGATGTTCCTAGGCTCAAGGGACATGAATTTCAGAGTTGTCATGATTCGAGTCTGACCCAGAGTAGGCCAGCTTTCCAGCAATGGAAACAAGAGCTGTGTTACTGTGGCTCAGAGAGGAAAGGCAAGAGGACAGGTCACCCGGTGAGTGACCATATGTACAGTGTTCCCATATCCTCCTTGGCCTCAGTGGCCATCCAAGGCCCCCTAGTCTGCCTCCTCTGGCCTCCCTTGGAATAGAGACTTTTTTCCTGAGGGTTGGAGAGTTAGGGTCAGAGGTCAGATCCCAGAGGTCCACTCCAAGCCCCCATATGGAGCCCCAGAGGCTTGGGCTCTAAGGCCATGGCATCTGCCTCCCTTTGAAAGAATTGTAGGCATGGGTGGCCCCTCTGCCCTGGTGGCTCTGACTTCCAGGGAGGAGGTGGGGTGGGGTGGGGGGATGAGTTAGAGCTGGCCTCAGAGAACTGGGGTGTAGGAGCCAGCAATTAGGTGGGGTTGAAGGTCGGGCCTGGATGTGGGAGGGAGGCACAGGGTTAAAAAGGGGTGTAATGTTAACTCTGCAGAACGGGTTGGCTTGAAAGAGTAAATAAGGGGTAGAGCCACAGTTTAGGTCAAAGTTCGTCTCCATGGCGGAACCACACGCCTGCTTCCCGCCACCCCTCCCAGCCTGAGTCTGGCTTTGTCTGGGAGGAGACCCAGCCTGCAGGTGGCCTGTGGTGTCTGGGCCAGGGGCTGGGGAGCGCAGAGGGTGGCTGTGCAAGGAGTGGGGTGTGAGGCTGCTGGGAAAGAAAGGGCTTTTGTGCCTTGATGCCTCGTGAGGTCAGCCAGACCCCCTCGTGCTGGGACCCTCCAGGCCACTGCCGCTTTCCAGCGTTCCCATGGGGGTGGGGACCAGGGTTGAGGCGCCACAGGCTGCCTGGGGCTCTGGGATTGGGATGTGCCCAGCAGCTGACCTCCTGCCTCAGCTGAGCTGATCGAGGGCCACACCCAAGACACACCAAGGGACTTGCCAGCAGTGCTCAGCCAAGGGCCATCAGTTACACCCTCCCAAGAAGGAGCCCAGAACATTTTTCAGAAGCCCAGAGTAGGAACACAGGGATGTGGCTCGGTAGTAGAGTGCTTGCCTAGCATGTGCAGGACCCTGGATCCTGGCCCCAGCACTGCTGCACCCCCCCACACACATACGTGCACCCCACAGCCCAGGAATAGGGCTGTGTTCCCCCCTCACTCCCAACAGAGTTTTATGCTATTGTTCTCCACACCCTTTGGGAGTGTGGTCACTGATGGAAACACTTCCCCAGAGACATGGTGACATGTGGTAATCTGGGGTCTCAGGACCAGGCACCAGAAGGAGGAGTTTCTGTGGGGGGCCTTGCAGTGCTCTCAGCGTCTGCCGCCTGCTGCCTAGATGTCAACTGAGGGCGCAGAGAGGCTGTTTCATTTGTCCTGTAGCTGCCCTCAGGAGCCTAGTGCAGGCCCATGCTGGTGGTAGCCCTCCTGGCCAGGATAAGGGGTCGAGGCAAGCTGATTTGCTGACAGAACAAGGGTGTGTGTCAGGGACTGCCAGAGACAGAGACCGGAGGGTGATGTTAACCAGGATTCATCTAATTGGCAGCTGTATCTGGAGGCTGTGGGCTGATGTGCTGGCCAGAGCTAGCCTAGACCTGGTGCAGGGCATTGCAGGCCATGAGGAGGCTTAGCCGGCTGGTTTCTCTGCTGCCCTTTCTAATCTTTGGGCCTGTTGGTGACCACTGTGTCTGCCCAAAGGGTTCCCAAAAGGGTTTGGCTGGGCATACCCTCAGCCTGGACACCTGGTCCAGCCTTCCAGCTGCTCTCTGTGTAGAAATGAGCTGAAATCTGGCCCCATGAATGAGTGCAAAGGAGACCTTCGGGAGCTTCAGGGTATTCTCATGTCCCCTCTTGTTACTGAAGGACTAGGGACTAGGACAGACCAAGAAGGTGACTGTGGTGGGCCCTGAACGCTGCACCCAGCTTTAGCCTTGCTCTTCATCCTAGAAGCTCCCCGAGAGCCTCAGGTCCCCTGGTGGGATTGGCGAGGGGCCTGGGGCCCTCAGTCCCCCAGGGATGCAGCACTTTGGAAAGATGGCTGTCTGAGGCCACACCTGAGCTTTGCAAGGTATGCAACCATGGCAGTCTGGCTTTTTACTTTGGTGGGTCCAGCTGCCGCCAGGCGGGTTACGCCGAGTCTTTGCTGTCCAGATGAGCGAACGAGCAGGCCTGTGGTGGGTGAGCCTGCCAGGTGGGTGCAGGTCACTCCTCAGTGGGGAAAGTGGCATCCTTTTCCTTTCAGTCCTGGGGACTGACTGCAGGCATCCGCCGCTGAGCCACACCCCAGCCTTGCTACATTTTGTTTTGAGACAGGGTCTCCCTAAGTTGCCCGGGCTGTTCTTGAACTTGTGCTCCTCCTGCCTCAGCTGGATCACAGGTGTGTGCCTGGTCACAGACTGGGTTCTTTTTTTTTTTTTTTTTTTTTTTTACAATTTTTAATATTTATTTATTTTTTAGTTCTCGGCGGACACAACATCTTTGTTTGTATGTGGTGCTGAGGATCGAACCCGGGCCGCACGCATGCCAGGCGAGCGCACTACCGCTTGAGCCACATCCCCAGCCCACAGACTGGGTTCTTTAAGAGGACAGTTCCCCAGTCCAAGCTCCCCACTCTTCCTTTCACCAAAAGGAGCAAGACGCCCATGGCCACGTGGATGAGCTGTTGCTGCATCCCACCCCTGTTGGCCAGTGATGCCACCGAGTGACTTTGAGAAGCGGGTGGTCTGCACTGCCCCATATGGTGGTGGGTGGGACCTTGTTCCTTTTCTTCCTCTGTTTTCTTTACTCTTCCTCCTCCTCCTCCTTCTTCCTCCTCTTTTTAAAAATCTTACCATAGGCAGAGGAAAGCTGGGCCTTGACAGGGTCTGTTGACAGCCTGAGAGAGGACAGAGTGTGCGGCTCTGGCTCCGGGCAGCAGTCGTGCCGGTGCTGCTCATGTGGTGGCTCCTGCTTGTCCCCAACCCTGCCACTGCTTGTGAACCTTCTCTGCACAGACCTCCTGGTGGCATTTCCCACAGCTGCCACTGAGTTCCCATTCCTGGGTCCCTGGGGCAGGTGGTGGCAGTAGCCCCGCATTCCCACAGTGCTCCCTGGGTGGGGCTCTGGCTGCCTGTGTGAGAGGCTCTCTGGACCCGCCTTGTAGGCGAGGAGACAGCACAGAGGGAGATCTGCCCGGCCAGGGCCACCAGGGAAGCCCCAGGGCTGTCCCTTCTCTACCAGGGTCCCTGCCCACTTGGCACCCCCTCCTGGCCCAGGGCAGCACAGCTGGCTCCTGCCACTGCTCCCTGCCACACATGGATGAGGCCTCTGCAGACCCCCACTTGCCTTGGCTGCAGCTCTGGGATGCCTCTGTGCACATGGGCAGTGCTCAGAGACCCCAGCCCGGCTGCCTTTGGGTGTGGACAGGGGGTGCCTGAGTGAAGCCAGCTGCTAGGACGCCGGAGATGCATCCTGGCCTTACCTTGGGGCTGAGCGCAGTCAGCTGTGGTGGTCGGCCCTGCTGGGGAGTTATCTGTTTGGCGCCTGTGTCCTCCCCTCAGTGCCAGCACCTTGAGGGCCACGACCTGGGCAACACACAGCCAGACACAGAGGAGCTGGGGAAACGGCTGCCGTGGCTGAGCAGCCGGAGCGTGGGCGTCGCAGGCACAGGTGGGCCAGGTTCAGGTCAGGCAAGTGTCCTCACCGGCAGGGCCTCCTCGAGTCTCCCTGATGGGCTTTACCAGGCCTCCCTCTGCCCCTTCCTGATGGAAACTGTGGCACCTGGACTCTCGGGGGTGGGGGCATCGAGGTGGGGAGCGGACGTTACTCACCCCTGGGCAGACAGGAACCAGCGCCAGGGACAGTGCAGGGTGCTGCTCACCAGGGGCCTGCCTCCACCTCCCACAGGATAGGAAGTGGGGTTGCTGCCACAGAGCCATGTGGAGCCCGGAGAGCCCCAGGCCTCTGGTCTGTGCCTGTCACATGAGGCCACTCTTCCAGCCTGGGCCGCAGGGACCCCTAGGACACTGGAGTGTCCCCTCCATCAGGTCAGGATGCAGAGCCAGTGAGCTCCTGCCTGCTGACCAGAAGGTCTGGGTTCCCTGCCTGATGCTCCTGGCCCTGGTGCCTGGTACTGTGTCAGTCTGAGGCTGCGCAGAGGCAGTGAGGGTGCTGGTCTTTTGAGGGCCCTTCCTGGGTTCAGCCACGGGGAAACTGAGCGCCATGCTCTGCTGGGTGCTGAGCCCTGTCCTGCCGCCCACCGGGCACCTCCCTCCAGGAGTCTGGTTTGGTGGAAGAGGGAGCACCCGGAGGGTGGGCCCCACCAGACTGACTGCTTTCTTGTCATTTTAGATGTGCATCTTGTTCTTGGTCTTTTTTCCCAAGGGTCACATTCATTGTAGAAAATTTAGAAAAAAATAAAGGAGCAAAAAAAGAAAAAATTAAAAATACCAACGTTCAGGGGGCACATTTTTCTCAGACTTTTCTGTGCACATGATCAAAGCTTTGTTTCCTTTTAAGAAGATGGGAAGTGTTGTAGCCACCCTTTCCCTGTCCCTGTCACCGAGGTAGATCTGCTGAAGTCTTAAGGGTTGTCTGGTCTGCCCAGCAACTGGAAGCCGCCTGGCTCTAGCCCATCATGTGCCCAGCGCTGGCCCTGTGAGCACAAAACTGTGACTGTTCCTGTCCCACAGAGGAGGAGACATCACAGAGGG